GGTCAAACAACTTCTATACAACGAAAGGAGACTGCGACCACACAAAAAGCCACACCATCTTGGTCTTCATGCCTTCGATAAAAAGGAATAGCAAATTGGATCCGATAAGTAGTGTTACTTTGCGTTAACTGATGAAATTACTAAGAAAGCGTGAAAATAGTCCTGCTTCTTAGTCAGAGAATGATGGCAACCATTAAGTCGAGGAGATAAAACATTTAAGAATCAAATGGTTCCAACGTTTGCTCACCCACAGCTGAATCGAAGGTGGAAGCCGTGGTTGCAACTAATCCATCAGAGAGAGAAGCTGTTGAGCTAGTCATCGTGGTCTGTTGCTGCTGCTGTTGAAATAATGTCGACTGTGAAGACTGGAATTGATCTTGTTGATTTTGAGTAAAAAGACGGGCCTGATTGGGTTTCTCAGAAGAGATTGGGGTAAGAAAACTCGATTGCTGACCCTCACTCCCAGTGGTTCCGGCAAAAGACTTGCTCTTTAGCGCTGACTCGGTCGAATTGGTTTGAGTGAGTAATGGAACTGGCATAGCAGGACAGAGCAACGGCTGTGCAGCTGCAAATATGGTTTCGAGGTGACGCAGTTGTTGTTGAGCTAAAAACTGGAGAAGGTAAGAGAAGAATGTTCCATCCGAGAGTCGCAGAGAAAGCAGATATATGCGTTGAAACGATACGCCAGGCTGGTTACCAGAAGAGTTTGCGGTCTGAATCGTCTGCCAATGCAAATTTGAAAAAATAAAATAAAATAAACTTTTCAGGAAGTGACAAAGTTCAATAATGATAAATTTATGGAAACAATGATTTATTCCAAATAATGACACGGTAACAATGAGTGTAATTTGGCTTGAAGCCAACAAAATATACCTGATAGGCAAATGTCAGTTCGAGGCCGCAGGATGAGCCCCCTGGAGGTAGTGGTACTGAAAGGAGGAGTTCTGGTTCGGCTCCAGTAACTGCCGATGTCGTGCCCACAGAGGATGCCGAGTTTATAGCTGCAGATGCAGCTGCAGCCGCAGGTAGACTAAAAAGATAGAGTTCCTCGCTATTAAGACCTGAGTGCGTGACCGCAACCAGGCTGGGTGTTGAGCCAGGAAAGAGGAGGCACATGTGATAATGAACAGATTCTAGAAAGTCAGGATGAAGATCAGCTTGTAGAGGGCGTAAAAGGACTGCTCTTGGGTGATCTTTAGTCTACTCATTTGTGAAATTGTAGATGTTGGAAAGATGGTAAAGATTCTACTATTAATACTATAAAAAGGGTTTTGAAGGTACTTTTTCGTAATTAGTAAATTTAATGAAAAAGTAAAGTAAATTAAATTAAAGAGATAAAAGTTAACTTGGCCTTCCAAAACAGGGATATTGAAGCGAACTAAATAAGCGAAAATACCTTTCAACACTGAAATTTACTCGCATACTGCAAAGCTAAACGACACTTGAGCTAAAGAAATTTTTTTGCGAAACCTGTTATCAAAAAACAGAAAAAGAAAATGTCGACCGAAATAATCCGTACAAAACTTTT